AAGGGAAGGGAAGGGAAGGGAAGGGAAGGGAAGGGAAGGGAAGGGAAGGCTGCTTGAATGCTTTTTCTTATAGACACAATTTTTTTTCTCTCTGGATTTTTAATTTTTATTTTCTTAATCATTATATTAAATCTCATTTTTCTTGAATTCTTGTTTGAACCCTCACCTCAGCGTAAAGCTTACCCTACAGCAATAATAATATTAATTTTTAAAAAAAGATCAAAAATGACATAGAGGAATTAAGGCTTAAACAGCTATGTATGTAATATGTACAAGTAGCATGTATTGATGTACTATTCCTTTCCCCCTTCTTTGTTCTTTGTTTCTTTTGTCTTCCCAGTTGCTTTTCACTTAATTCATAAAAATAAGAAAAAGTAGTCAGCTGCCCAGAGTTTATTGGAGTGGTCGGCCACAGTACATTTAATTAAGAATGAATGAATGAATGAATGAATGAATGAATGAATGAATGAATGAATGAATGAATCCCAAAATCATAGTACATTTAATTAATAATAAATAAATAAATAAAGCCCAAAATCATAGCGCATTTAATTAAGAATGAATGAATGAATGAATGAATGAATGAATGAATGAATGAATGAATCCCAAAATCAAAAGGCCCTCTGCTACCAGAGGAAGCAAGATCACAACCTGTTAGCCTCAAGGTTTGATGGAATAACTTGATGGAAAATACTGGGTCTGTTTTGCCTGGAGGAAAGTTAAAAGAAGGGGAAAGGGGGGGCTGCTTTAAATAGCTGGGGAGGGGGCTACACTTGTGCCCCTCCATGCTCCAAAACAGCTTCCTGGATTGAATCAAAAGTTCAAAGGCATGGCTCTACGGGGTTTTCTGCTGGGTGCAGTGACAAAAAATCAGGGTTGGCCGCCACGCCCGCGGAGCTTTGATCGCACTGGCGGGTCCATCTTGACTTTTTTGACCACAGCTTGTGGACAACTCGCAGTCCTATTTTGTGATTCTCTCCTTCTTCTCTCTCTCCTTCTTTCCTTTTCTTCCTCTCAAACATCAGCTTGCAGGGGACAAAGAACCCGTACTAGAGATCTGGTCTTTGAAATTAGGGCAAGTGCTGATAAAGATAATATGATGAATATGATTAATACCTTGACTAATCTTGATTACTGATGGTTTGGTAAGAGTTGGTCCTGTCTGCCTCTTTAGATGGCAGGGAACTCTGATTTCCATCAGTTCTGGTATCATGACTGCTATTAGAGGATGATGGGCAATGAAGCCCAGCAGGAATTGGGTAACAACACGTTCTGTACTCTGGTTTCAAAACCCAAGATTCAGTTTCTCTTTCCATTTCACTGTTCTTGCATTTCAAATTTCTAATGTTTTCTATTTCCAGATTTCCTTCTTTGGAAATGTTTGTTTCCATATTCATCTTTTCTCTGTCTCTCTCTCTCTCTTTTGTATCTGTGAGATTTGTAGACTAGATTTTATTTTAATGTGGAATAAATGGACTCTTATGTTCTTAAATTAATATTATTTTGTTGTTATATACTGATTTTATTTAGAAAGCATTTCTTACCATTTGTAGACTTAGTGGGGTTTGCTCATTCCTTGAGTAATCTCAGTAAATAAGTAACAGGACAAAAGAAATTCCTGCATTTATTTCTTATATTGCTATAATATATAACATATTATTATATATATTATATTATTATATATATTATATATTTATTTCTTCCTTCCTCCCGGGGTTATTTTCTATTTTCTTGCAATAAGAACTGCAGGAAAAGAACTTTTTTCTCCTTTCATACAGGATCCCCGGAAGGGCTTTGGCATTGCCATTTCGGGTGGCCGCGATCGCCCCAACAGTGCAGATGGCGACACCTCTATTGTCATATCAGATGTGGTGCCTGGAGGACCCGCGGTTGGCCGACTCCAGTGGGTACTTAAAACAAGGAGTTTCAGCAAACTCACAAACCAGGGAAACCAGTATTTTTCTCTGGGATCCCCAAGACTTTGTGCAATTGCTATTTGCCTTCTGTGATGTCACAGCAGTTTAACCAATGGCTGGGCCATTACGGCCTTTGGGGGCGGGACTGGTGTAATGATCTCTTCATGCCCAAACCTGCTTGCTTGCTCAGTGCCTGCACCAGTGTTTCTCAACCTTAGCAACTTTAAGATGGGTGGACTTCAAC